GGTTATTTGTAGTTTAAAGTTGCTCTCACGTTTACAGCAGAGATGTGCAGCAGGTTGAAGAAGCCGCCTCCCAGGAAGTCAGCACAAGAACCACCGCTCAACTCGTCCAGTGTCATTTTACACCCTCCTATTCGATTTACGGGTGTAAATCATAGCAAATGCCCAGCTACATCTGTCTGTTGTTTTCTTGGAGAGCCTGTCCCTCCGCCGGAGCATTGGTGGTGAGGACCAGGACGCCAGGTTCGTGGCCGGAGTGTCACCCAGGCACGCGGGAGCTCACGCCAGCTCTCCTCAAAGCGATTGCACTTTTATGAGTGTTCATGGGCTGACTGTTTCCTCTGTTAATGGTAGATGATTTACAGGAGCGCAGAGAAGAGGCTGCTCTCCAGCAGGCAATTTAAGTGCTGTGTGACCTTGCTTTTTGAAGGGCCATTAAACCTTTGAATTGCACTTACCTTTATGGCTTTCAAGTCAACTATCTTAGAGCCTCAAAATCCCTGTTTTGGCTTCTCACCTCACCCCACTTAGTTTTTTGCTATTTTTGGCTACTTTATTCCTCCACAAAACCAGCTCCTGTCTATCACTCCCATGAATAAAATGCAAGCAGCTGAAAGTTTGACCAGACCTCTACCAGAGTTTTCCTGCCAGTTACCTGCTCAGAGGTGCCCCTGTCAGTCCGTTGGTTTCCCTGTTTGAGCTGTAAATACGCTGCTTACAGCTGGAACAGCGTCAGCAAAACCACTTCTGGCCAAGTGGCGGTAATTTGGCTTTCATTCAAATTTTGGGAACAGCATATGACTGGTATGACAAGGACTTCCAGCTCCCAAGATTTTTAATGATGTGCCTGCTAAAAAAGAAATCCTGCAAACTTCTCAAAATGCCTGTGTGATTGGGCAGTGTTAAAATAGCTTTAAAGGGTACCTTTGGGGGACAGCATTAAGATTTTCCTCTTACAACCAACGTCACCAGTAGATCCAGCTCTGCAGAACTGCACCAACACCGTGAACCTTGTTTGCTGGGTGCCCTGCCACACCACCAACACGCTGTGTCCCCAGGCGCAGAAAGAGGGACCGGTTTGTCACCACTGCCTGTGGCAGAGCACATCACGGCCTCCTGAGAAAATGCCATAGTAAAGCCATTCCCTCTCCTGAGAAGCCATACAAAGAGGCAGGACTGGAACTCATGATCCGCACTTCCAGCCGGTTCCAGCTCCCACCAGCCAGAGCCGCACACGGCTTCTGCTCAGCTGTAGCAAGGACATCCTTAGGATGACTTCTGGCTGTCCTCTTTTCCAGGCATCCCTCGGGCTAGGGAACTGTGATTGTCCTGAAGTGTTTCTGGGGAAAAAGTAATCCTGCTGATCCCAGAGCCAGAAGACAGAGCCTGACCAGCTGGCCGGCCTTTTCCCCCCCTGGGCAAGATACCGAGTGCCCTCTGTTGAACAAAACCGCTGGGCACGTGGCCACACAAACCACGGATCATACCCTCGCACCTGAAGGGAATGAAAGCAGGTCACCTCCCCGCCTGCAGCAAGTCTCTTGTTCAAGTCTTCAGTTTCAGACATTGTGTTGCGTTTCCGTTGGCCCACGGAAGGAATTTCTGCCAGACCATCACGCCCAGACCATGCCCAGAGCTACCAGCCGGTTCAGTTACCGTTTCAGATCCACAAAGGGTGCAATCCTGGTGGTTTCTCCGAACAAAACTCACCTTGCGCTCAGACCCAGAGGTTGTCACGTCCCCTATAATCACAGCAACATCAGGTACCCCCTGAAGGCATCACTTTACCTAAAATGAGCCACTAAAATCTGTGTCCTTCATACTGTCCTGTGTTGAACTCCATAACTAAAAGGTTACAGGACCCATTTCTGGTTTTCTGACCAACACCCTGGTTTTCTGACACCCTGGTCTGTTTGCAAACGGCTTCTCCTTCAGGCAGCGCAGAGGAGCAGGAGGCGGTGAAGCTCCAACAGCAGTGTCATAGAATCCCAGAATGGTTAGGGTTGGAAGGGACCTTAAAGATCATCTAGTTCCAACCCCCCTGCCATGGGCAGCGTCACCCAGTTTTGCAGTGTAACAGGCAGCTCAGGTACCCCAAGGGATGAGGGACTGCTCACCGGCACCCTCCCCACAGAAAGCTCTTCCCTCTCCACAGCTGCCGCCCCCCATGGCTTGGGCACAGCCCCAGCCCGTTTGGCTGCTGGACTGGAACAACTCTGCTGTCAGGGGGATACTCGGAAAGCATTGCCCAGGTGAGACCACCTCCCCAAAAAGGTTGGTTTTGAAATGGAGAAAGACATTCGTTTAAACAAAAGGAATACAGATGTGGAACAGCAGCTCCGTGTTTCTGGAATTAAGTTAACATTTTTAGTAGGGTTATTAGCATAGAATCATGGAATCACAGAATGGTTTGGGTTGGAAAGGACCTTAAAGCCCATCCAGTTCCAAACCCCCTGCCATGGGCAGGGACACCTTCTACTAGACCAGGTTGCTCCAAGCCTCATCCTGCCTGGCTTTAATATTAATATTAAATATAAAGTATCCAGAGAAACCAAATGGAAATGAGAAGGCTCATACCCAACTCCTGGTCACTGCACCTTCCCAGGGACTCCTGCTGCTGGCCCCTGCTGCAGCTACTGCATGCCCCATCCATGCCTTGAGGTCCTTGAGATCTCCTTGTCTCCCTGCCTCCGGCTTCTTGAGCTGCTCCAAGCTCCTTTCAAGTTCTCCCCACTGGAAGTGCATGGGGACTTCACTGCCCTGGGGCTCCAGCCAGCTTTGTCTCCAGCAGTTTTAGGGCAAGCCACGTTCAGAAGTGGGGGGATGCTTGGGACAGCCTGCCTGATCCTGGCACGGCTATGAGACAGGAGAAGGTGAGCCACCAGCGCAGGAGATGTTGTCCCACCAGTCTGACGTTATGAAAGTTGCTGTTGTGCTGTCCCTTTTCAACCGATTAAATCTGCTCTCTGTGTGCTCATTGGAAAGGTTCAGTATTGTGCTCACCGGCTCCTCTACCACCTCCTTCTCCATCGTTTGATTTTATTTGGGAAGCCATGCAGTCATATCCTGAAGCTGCAGGTGCTCCCAATTAAATCTGCTCTCTGTGTGCTCCTTGGAAAGGTTCAGTATTATGCTCACCAGCTCCTCTACCACCTCCTTCTCTGCCGTTTGATTTTATTTGGGAAGCCAAGCAGCCATATCCTGAAGCTGCAGGTGCTCCCAATGCTTTTCTTCCAACAATTGCATCCCTAGGGATCCAGCCCTTCTTCTGTGAGATGGTTAATTTATTTGACTCCAGGATTTAGTACATACTTCCACTTTGCCCTGGCACAAGCCCTTCTGCTGTGTCTGTGCCCTTTGTACCTCCACATTACTAGCCCACCAACCCCCTTCCTCCCACACACTGTGTCCTAGCCTGCTCGTTCCTTGGAGTCCCAGAATTTGTGCAGAAGCCCTTGAATAATCCCAGTAGTTTTATTTCCTTGTATCCTGCTGGCAACACTTCCCAAGAGTTTGTCCAGAAAGTCCCTGGCCACCCACCCTGTGTTGCTGCAGTTCATACGTGGCTGTCAGCCTCCCCGTGTCAACGAAAGTGCTGCCAACCAACCTCCTGATCTCCCCACATTTATCCAGATAAGATAAGGAAAAGAGTTGGTTTCAAGGTCTTTAGTCCACATTTCTACTTTCTCACTTGGCGCCTTCCCAAGTGACAACAGAGCTGCCAGTTTTTCAGCGAAACCCCTGTAAATCCACAGGCACAAAGCTGTGCAGGTGTTAGTACCTCGCTGGTGTGCACTGGGCACAACTGCTCCTTCACCCGGAGTGCTGTGTCCAGCTGTGGAGCCCTCAACATCAGAAGGATATAGACTGGTTGGAGCGAGGCCAGAGGAGGCCACGAAGATGCTCCGAGGGCTGGAGCCCCTCTGCCATGGGGACAGGCTGAGAGAGTTGGGGGGGTCAGCCTGGAGAAGAGAAGGTCTCCAGGGAGACCTTATTGCCCCTTCCAGTGCCTGAAGGGGCTACAAGGAAGCTGGGGGGGGCTTTTTACAAGGGCCTGTAGTGACAGGACAAGGGGTAACGGGGTTAAACTGAAAGTGGGGAGGTTTAGATTAGATATCAGGAAGAAGTTCTTCCCGCAGAGGGTGGGGAGGCACTGGGACAGGTTGCCCAGAGAAGCTGTGGATGCCCCATCCCTGGAAGTGTCCAAGGCCAGGCTGGATGAGGCTTGGAGCAACCTGGTCTAGTGGAAGGTGTCCCTGCCCATGGCAGGGGGGTTGGAACTAGATGGACTTTAAGGTCCCTTCCAACCCAAACCATTCTATGATTCTCCCCATCCGCTTCGTCCTGTCAGACATGCCGGGCTCGCCGGGCTGGGCGCATCGGCAGGACGTGTCCGACTGGGAGCTGGCTCAGGTCCTCAGCTGCTGACCGCCCAAGCTGTCTTTCATCAAACCAGCTGCGCCACTTGCACTCCCTTGACATGCCATGAGGCTGCCTTTGATGGATGGGAGCACCCCGAAATTCCCATTCTCACCTCAAAAGCAGAGCAGAAAGCCCTCACCATCTTTGGTTAGAAGAGGCAGGCTGGGCCTTTGATCATCAAAGTTCTCCTCTTTGGAAGGAGGAGGAGCCGCCTAGTCATGGGTTCATTGATT